GAGCAAAGCCTCAGAGGCCCGGCACCCCGCCGCCGCTGCCGCTTTGCTCCCCGTGTCCCTGGTCTGCTGGGGGGGGTGGGGGGCACAGCTAGTGCCCCCCCCAGCAGACCAGGCTTTTGTTGTGGACCCTGGGGTAGAGCAGCTGGGGTACTGCTGGGTTGGTCCTGCAGGGACCTACCTGGCAGCCCAGCTGTTCTGTCCCAGGGTTGAGATTCAGCCGCTGTTGAAACTGATCAGTGGCTGATTCCAGGAAGCTGGGGGCAGAGCAATTCAGCCCCTGCTCACTTTCAGCAGCAGCGGATGAATCTGGAGCCAGTTCCGACTTACATACAAATTCAACTTAAGAACAAACCTATAGTCCCTATCTTGTACGTAACCCGGGGTCTGCCTGTATTGATAAAGTGTGATTCCATGGGTAATGTGGAACCAGTGCAGTTACCAAGACTTCAAAGGGTAGCAGAAGAGACTAAGGCAAGAATGGTCATTAGGGCAGGACTACAGAACTACCATAATTAGGAAGGCTAAAAAGATACTTGAATTACTGCTAGCTAAATTTCAAAGAGTAATAGCAAAACAAAAAAAAATTTAAGTTCATCTGAAGCAGGAAGCCTGCTGAAAAACCACTCAAGGACAATAAGGTCACTGCAGAGAAACTAAATTAATTCTTTGCATCCATCTTCACAGCTGAGCATGTGAGGGAGATTCCCAAACCTGAGCCATTCTTTTTAGGTGTCAAATCTGAGGAATTATCCCAGATTAAAGCGTCAGAGGAGGTTTTGGAACAAATTCATAAACTGAACAGTACTGATAAACTGAACTCTTGGCATACACCCAATAGTTCTGAAAGAACTCAAATGTGAAACTGCGGTACTACTAAATGTGCCACTGGCTGTTTAGCACTTCTTAGCAAAATATTGTTTATTATTCTTTGCATTTTTAGCTAGCTGTTCTTCAAGTTCCTTTTCTAGGGATTCTAGGTGTTCTCATGGATTAATAAAAGGTTAAAAGACAGACAGAATAGGGATAAATGGCAAGTTTTCAGAATGGAGAGAGATAACTAGTGGTGTCCTGCCCTGATGACCATTCTTGCTTTAGTCACTTCGGCCATTCTTTGAAGTCTTAGTAACTGCATTGGTCCCTGGAAACTTCACTTTATCAGTAGCTGAAGATAACGATAATAAATCATCTACAGAGTAGGGTAAAACAGTGAGGTGGCAAAATTTGCAAATGATACTAAACTCTCAAGATAGTTAAATCTAAAGCAGATTGACGAGCTTTAAAAAGATCTCGCAAAACTAGGCGATTGGGCAACAAAATAGCAGATGAATTCTAATGTTAATAAATGCAAAGTAATGCATATTAGAAAACATAATACCAACAATATGTACAAAATGATGGCGACTAATATAGCTATTACCACTCAAGAGTGAGATCAGGGTTTCATTGTGGATAATTCTCTGAAAACATCCACTCAATGTGCAGCAGCAGTCAAAAAGGCAAACAATGTTAGGAATCTGCGCCTGGGCACAAGTTAACATTTAGCTGGCAAATATCACCCGATAATAGGGATGGTTAAGAAGCGAGTATTTAACTAATCGAGTAGTAGATAAAAATTCTATCGATTATTCGATTAGTCAATAGGCAGCCAGCTCAGTTGCGGCTCACACTGGGTCCAGGACCAAACCCTGCCATGGCACTGCAACTTAAAATGCAGTAGGAGCTGAGGGCCAGGATGCCTGGCTTCTACTGCCTTTTAAATCGCAGAGCCACAGCTGGGTTTGGCCCCGAACCTGGTGCGAGCCAGGCTGCCTGCCAAGCCACCAGCAGCCCCAACCCTCCCTCTGATAGAGGCAGCAGTGGGAGGAGGGAGGATGTTAGGCAGCACCATGGAGATGGTGCTGGGGAGAACCTGCTCCTGCAAAGGCAGTGGGGGGAGGGGCGAGAGGGGGGGGAACAGGACATACGTGAGTAGTCAGCTCAACTACCTAAGCCTGGGCTTAGTCAACTACTTTGTTACATCCCTACCCGATAAGGGTGATGCTTACCAGGCAACCATTCATATTCCTAACCCATGGTTCATCCACATTTTGATTACTGTGTGCAGATGTGGTTGTCTCATCTCAAAAAAAGATGATATAGCTTCACGTTGGAAAAAGTTCAGAAAAGTGCAAAAGAAATTATTAGGGGCTTGGAATGGCTACCATCTGGTGAGAGATTAAATACAGTGGGACTTTTCATCTTAGAAAAAAAGAAACTAGAGGGAGGGGGAGAAGAATATGAAAGAGATCTATAAAATCGTGACAGAAGTGGAGAAAGTAAATAAGGGAGAAAAAGTTATTTACTTGTTCCCATAACACAAAAACTAGGGATCACCAAATGAAATTAATAGGTAGCAGGTTCAAACAAAAAGTAGTATTTCTTCACGCAATGCATATTCAACCTGTGGAACTCTTTGCCAGAGGACATTGTGAAGACCAGGATTCAAAAAAGAATTAGATAAATTCATGGAGGATAGGTCCATCAATAGCTAGGTTATTAGCTAGGATGGGTAGGAATGGTGTCTCTAGCCTCTGTCAGAAGCTGGGAATGGGTGACACGGTAGGATCACTTGATTGCTAGTTGTGTTCATTTCCTCTGGGGCACCTGGCATTGGCCACTGTCGGAAGACAGGATACTGGGCTATATGGACCTTTTATCTGACCTAGTATGGCCATTCTTATTTTTTTTTTTGATTTAGCTCCCTTTTATTCACATTGGACAAGGTCTTTCTATAGTAAGCCCTGGATCGCAGACCACTTTTCAATCCTTGTTACTGCAAGGAATATTGCAAACATTAATATTTTCTCAACACTACTAGGAATAGATGCAAAAGTATTTACAATTCAGACCCTCTCTAAATGAAAGTTTATAGTGCATCCCGGTAAGTGAGCTACATTACCCTGACAGGCAGATAATCAAGTTATAAGTCCTCAGTCAATTTCATTCCTTGACCAACAGGTTGCAGGGACTGGCAGAAGGGTGGGGGAATGTTACCGGATCTGTGACTGTGGCTGGAGATGTGTGTTCAGCTCCAGGTTGAAGAATGCCAATGACTGGCCCCTACAATTTGCTTTCAGCACTGCCGTTAGCTGGGAATAGGTTACCACCACACAGGATTAGTACTGGAAGGATAGTTTTGCATTTGCTGAAGAACAATTTTTATGCCCCATTATTCTTTATGGCTAAGAAAGCACCATTTTAAGAGACAGGAGGAAAAAACCCACACAACTTGTGACCAAGAGTTTATGTCAAAGCATGGACTCCACTCAATTCAAGTACTGTAACCCAGAATATCGCTCCCCTCTGGGTAAGCCACTCAAGGAAGTCAGATGATTCAGTCACGAGTGATGAAGAAGGCCTCACCTCATGGAAGTGCTAATCGATCCTCCCCCGCAGCGCCTGAGACA